TTTGTTATAAATGTCAAGGATATTTTTGGATAAGAATTTAATCGGATAAATTCAATGTAAAAATAAAGATATAAGAATAAGATATTTTGTCGAGTTATAACTAATGAATATTTATGCTTTACGCGTAATATATATGTAATACTATTCTAGGTGAGTTACTTCACGAAAACATCGTAAACACCCGAATTATACGTCGTCACGTCTCTGGTGACTACTCGTTACTAACAACTATGACGACGAGAAGAAAACTTGGTAGTGGTGGTAGTGGTGGTGGATAAGTTTTCAAATAGTTCAGATGGTAAACGTAAAATCGACCTACTCTTGTCGTGGACTTTGAAAGGAATGAGACGTGGAAAAGTTTGGAAAAGCTTAAAAAGCTTTGACTTAAAAGTTATTTGAGTCTTGTGTCATGGTGTAATATTTCTCTTCAGTTATTGGCATCTGAGTATAAGTTACAAATCATACACACATATATATATATATAGATGCATTTGTGTGCATTTCATAGTGTTGAAATTCAATCAAAGATATAAATAATGAAAAAATAAATTCATTTATTTATTTAACACGTTCGCTCGCCCAGCTCGTTTTGATTGAGTTTCTCGTCAGGCCCAAAATTCGACTATCGGCGCGATAAGTAGAAATATCAATAATGCAATCCGACTATTATGGTTATCTTCTTCTTAGTATATATAAATTACGTGTGACGTTGTTTGTCCGCAATGGACTCCTAAAGTACTGAACTGATTTTAATCAAATTTTACACACTGTGTGCAATTTCATCCAACTTGAAAGATAGAATAGTTTATATTTCAATTTATAGTCGAATTATTTGTTTATTAACAAAAAGTCATGATTATCTCTGTTAGTTCGATAAGATTCTAACAGATGACGGTATAAGGTAATTCGTTCGGACTTATTGTGAGCCACAGCAACGCGTGTGTCTTTTGAAGTTTAACCTCGAGAAACAAAATTCGCGAGTTATCGAAAAAAAAAGGCTGACGGATGAATCAACATGTAAATTATGTTAGATACGTTTTTTAAAACTTAATCGCGATGATTATAGGATAAAAAAAAAAAAGAAATATAACAACAATTTAATGGTGAAATAAAAAGAGATGTGATTTAACGAGCCATTTGAGAAAATGGAAAATTGTTTGATTCTGTATATACCGGGTGATTTATTCTTTTCATAAAAATAACAAGATAGATCAACGATAGAAAATATCCATCGGATTTGATGGGGTAAACGATTTTAAACTGTGGTCCTAACTATTACGAAAAAATCCGATTTTCACTGACTCACTGATTGGTTGGCTGGGTGGTCCGTCCAGTGACTTTACCAATCGTGTTCGATGAACAAATATAACCGAGATAAAGATTAAACTTGAACGATATTGTTGCAAGTTGTCGATAGGACATGTTCAACGTGATTGAAATCAACAATTGTACTTGAAAATTTCTCTTGAAATGCTTTTTTTTTTTTTTTTTTTTTTTAAATACTCGTACAAATGATTTCATTTAATGTGACTGATATGATGAAAATAATCAAACATTAGGGTATAACATAAATGA